CTCTCTGTCTTCTTGGGTAGCAGCACCGCCTGAATGTTGGGCAGGACGCCGCCCTGAGCGATGGTCACTTTCCCCAGCAGCTTGTTTAGCTCCTCGTCGTTGCGGATGGCGAGCTGCAGGTGGCGAGGAATTATCCTAGTCTTCTTGTTGTCACGCGCGGCGTTGCCAGCCAACTCCAGGATCTCCGCGGTCAGGTACTCCAACACCGCCGCCAGGTAGACCGGCGCCCCGGCTCCCACTCGTTCGGCGTAGTTACCCTTGCGCAGCAGTCTGTGCACGCGGCCCACTGGGAACTGCAGGCCCGCGCGGGAGGAGCGGGACTTGGCCTTGGCCCGCACTTTGCCGCCCTGCTTTCCGCGACCAGACATGTTTACCTCTAGCCTAAAATACCGGAGAGAGAGGGGAAAAAAAAACAACCCAGCAACTCCGCTCTGTCGTGGGAACTCAACGTGCCACACCGGAACTGTCTCCACAAACTCTTTGCTGCCACTAGGCAACGCCTTTCCATTGGGCGCCGCAACGACCTCGGCTCCGGTGACCAATGACAAGCAGGCTCCACAGCCGACTACCTCCTCCCTCTTTCGCCAATCAAAGGAGCAAGTCCCTAGTTCTCATTTGCATAACTTTCCTTATAAATATCCAGGCCCAGCCCGCTCCGCGTTCGGGGGCGCTGACGAATTTAGAGAATGCTACCCTGGGTTTTCTTGTCTACCCCAGAAGGAGAAACTCTAAAGAAAGAAACAATTTGGAATTAGAGCTACAAGGGCTGCCCAAGCACCTGAGGTACCATGTGCCAGATGTTGCTATACTTTTTAGGTGGAGTTTCTCATGTATACCATAGCATGCTAGTCAGATAGTTATCTGACACCGGAGCTCGCTGCCTATTAAGCAAAATCTCAGCTTCTCTGCCTAATTCCTCCTGCCCGGTACTGGTGTGTCGTCTGTTCCTGGAGCCTACCGAGTAGGATGAAGAAGCTGGCTCCAAAAAGGCTTTGTCGGTAGTTGGCCATCTAAACTGTTTTACTATACCAGATGACACTGATCGCCTGCAAAGTTCTGCTGCTCTTTGGCTCCTAAGGGCTCTGACGGGAATGCTTCCCTAATTAATAGGGGCCACAAGATTGCCTAGCTAGAACATAATATCCCTTGTGTTTGGGGTAAAGGGCCTGAAAAGAGCCACGGGGTTTTATGGGAGAGGCCGCAGGCGCAGCTGAGGCTGGAAGTCTTGGCTTTAGCTTGCTACCTGAACGTCTGAGAGCAGCCAAACAGCCGGTCACCTTTTCCAGGAAGACTTGAAGGACCCCTGGGGTCTCTTTATAGCCACTAAAAAGGAAGAATGGCAACAGTGTACAAGTATGCAAGAACAACTTGTTCTTATATACCAGAATTGTAGACTCATAATATTTGAAACAAAATACGAGTTTTTTTTATTAGAAATTGCTTTCTACCAATTCATAATTTTAATTACCTTAAAATTTTTTACAATTATACGGTTACATTCTTACGTGATGTAAAGTTAAACCTTTGTTTATTAAAATAAACAATTTGGGGTGGTGCCTGTGGCTCAAGGAGTAGAGTGCTGGCCCCACATACTGGAGGTGGTGGGTTCAAACCTGGCCCTGGCCAAAAACCGGAAAAATAAAATAAAATAAACAATTTTATGTGGATTATACTATCCATGTACATTAAAGCAAATTTACTATCTCACTATCCTAATAAAGATTTGATTTTATTGAAATAACGTTTTCAAGTACATCTGTATGTCCTTAGTGCCTAGCTCCATGATTAACCTATAGTGTAGACTCATGTCTTTGGAGTGTGGAAGCAGCACATTGTCATAGTTAAGGTGGTTATCCTAAGATTCTTCATAACTTAAATAAATTTGTCAGAGGTCACTTAATAGATGACATTCGATAAGCTACTTCTGCACCTATCTCGAAGTGTTTTGAAAATTAAATGTTAGTAAGCATCCAATAACGTAGATATATGGAAAAAATGGACATACAAATCTTTGGTGCAATTTTTTAACAAGATGTTTCTGAAATTAGGTCTGTGAACTAATTTAAATTTTTGCCTGTATCATGGCTAACTTTTATTTTATTTATTATTATTTTATTTTATTTTTTTTTTTTTTGAGACAGAGCCTCAAGCTGTCCAGTCTCCTAGAGCCTCCGTCTCCCAAGTAGCTGGGACCATAGATGCCTGCCACAACACCTGGCTATTTTTTTATGGTTGCAGCCATCATTGTTGTTTGGCCGCTGGGCTGGATTCAAACCCGCCACCTTAGGTGTATGTGGCTGGCTGAGCCCATGGCTAACTTTTAAAAGAACTTTTAAAATTATTACTTTGGACACTTTTTTCTTTTATTCTTTTAACCCAGAGATTTCTCACTTGAAAATGTTCCCACCTTGATTTCTTAGAAGAGTAAACATAAACAAGACAACCTATCTTACTATTACAGGATTCGTTAGCTCTTTAAGATTGGTAGACTTTTCTTCTTCCCTCTGAGTCAAGAATTAAAATCACGTAGTGAAGTTAATACAAAATTTTCTCCAGATATACAGAAAAGAAAAAGGAAAAGAAATACTTTTGGGGTTATGAAGACAGGCAAGGATTGAAACAAGTTAAATTATAAACATTTAGAAATATAATACATTTTTACCATACAGTTTTTCTGCTATAATGGCTTATCTTCAGGGCTAGGGAAAAAGAGCCCCTTTTATTAAAACATGTATTCCTCAAAATGCTGATTAAATACCTGGGAAAGACTTATGAATCATTCCCTAAATAAACCTGCCTTTTAAGATAGGGAGTCCTGTCTCCTTCCAAGAGTAGTAAACTTTACTGAAACTTTCATTTTTGTTTGAAGATTCTCTTCAGAAAGGAAGAATGGAGAGCCTTTCCATGGGGCATTTTCAGTATGACTCATCCAAGGCTACTACTGTGATCTCTATTATTTCACAAGAACTTTAATTTGTAAGTGAAAAATGTGTGTGAGAACCTCAGATTTGAATGACAAAAAAAGACAATTTCGATATTTCAACTAAACAGCCATAGAAACAATTACTTGGTTCAAAAACAAAAAAACCGAGCTGGGGCGCCCCATATACCAAGGGTGGCAGGTTCAAACCCGGCCCCTGCCAAACTGCAACAAAAAAATGGCCGGGCGTTGTGGTGGGTGCCTGTAGTCCCAGCTGCTCGAGAGTCTGAGGCAAAAGAATCGCCTAAGCCCAAGAGCTGGAAGTTGCTGTGAGCTGTGACGCCACAGCACTCTACCAAGGGCGGCAAAGTGAGACTCTGACCCTTAAAAAAAAAAAAAAAAAGACAAGCTGGCAGGGGAGGCAGAAGCAGCTGGAAGGGAAGATGGGGTGGAAAACGGTAAGGTTAAGTGGACTTTATCATTATTATTTAAAGAATTTTAATTGGTTTTCCCAAAGGCCATAAAAGAGGGGGAAAATGAACTATTAAAAATTTCCTAGTGTTGCAGCTCTTTTAGAATTTGTCTAATTTTCCCAGTAACCACTGAACGACTTCCACGCAACAACCAAAAAAAATCCTTTTCCCCTACTGCCCCCTACTGACGACTTTAGAGATTCACATATAAAGCGTTTCTGGTTCCTACTGATTTTCACGTAGGTCAGAAATGGTATTACAAATAAGCACTTTATTTGAAGAAACTGTAGTACTAGAATTGGAGGGCAGTAGGGAGAAAAAGGGACTGAAAAATGTGTGTAGGATCTGGCCTACTTTTAAAGTGCTAAGAAAAACCAATACAAATTTCATCAACTCATGTTGTTTAAAATTTCAAATATACCATGATGACTCTTTCTTCAAATTTGTGGCGAAAATATCCAAGGGTTTTCCCTTAACAAAAAAAGCTTAGCTTACTGCTACCGGAATTTACAACGGCCGGAAGGCCGCCTCCAAGGGGCGGAGCCTATAGCTCCGCCCACTTTCAAAAAGTTTTCAAACAGGTCCGTAGCAAAGGAATATAATGGGTTTCCGAAACCAACTGTTTCCCGGGTTTTCTGGCTTGAAAAAGCTGTAATTTCATAATGTCCGGACGAGGTAAAGGCGGCAAAGGGCTGGAGGTGCAAAGCGACACCGGAAAGTCTTACGGGACAACATCCAGGGCATTACCAAGCCGGCCATTCGCCGTCTAGCCCGCCGTGGTGGTGTAAAGCGCATCTCTGGGCTCATCTACGAGGAGACCCGGGGAGTGCTCAAAGTCTTTCTGGAGAACGTGATCCGGGATGCAGTAACTTATACTGAACATGCCAAACGGAAGACTGTCACGGCCATGGATGTGGTGTATGCCTTGAAACGACAGGGGCGCACCCTCTACGGCTTTGGCGGCTGAGCTGTCCCCACGCTTTTCCAGACTCCAAAAGGCCCTTTTCAGGGCCCGCACAACCTCACAAAGAGAGCTACTAACGCTTTGTATTCTGAGGCGTGTCAGATCTTGAGTGTAGGTGAAGCACTGACGCTGTGAGTAGGGCTTAAGCGATGGAAGCGTCTTCCCGGAGTTAGGCTTCGGGTGGGGGGCAGCGGGGAACCCAGAACGCAAGCTTGGGGCGGAGTAACTCAACCCCAAAGAAGCCCGCGTTTAGAAGTGGTCAATAGCTACCGAGGCCTGAACCCTGAACACCCCCAGAGCGGCTTCTGCGTAATTCGGGGTTTAGCCGCCTTCCCGCCGGTCACAAGGAGGTTACCCGGCCTGACAAGACTGTAGGGGCCAGGAGGTCTCAGCGCTACCACCAGAAAGTCCCGAGGCGCTCAAGGCAGCCCTGGTGTGGCGCGCTGGAGTAGTACGGGGTGTGACTTTCTTAGCTGACATTCCAAGGGAGCGGTGACCAAACTGCTGAAAAAGCGGCGAAGTCTAAACTCAGGCTGAAGCTCGCGGGTCCCTACAATTCCAGCGAGCCAGCTGCCGTAGTCGGCCACGCGAGCCTTAGTGGCGGGCCAGGGGTTGGCCGGCGGCTCGGCTCCAGCAGTCAAGAAAAGCCGGTCTCCAGCCGGTCATAACTGGGAGTAAAGTTATGGGAGTAAAGTTACTGGGAGTAAAGTTACCTAGCTTCGGACGTGAAGGCCCTATTCCGAGGCCCGTGGGGCTCTAAAGGGGAGATGGGCGGCGGCGGCGGCGGGTTGGGTTCTAATGAGTGAAAGCGTGAGCGGTCCTGCGAGGGGACCCTGCGGTGCTGCGGGAAACCTGAAGCAGGTGGGGCGCGCTGCAGCGAGTTCGCGCTTTCCGGAGGCGAGGGGAGGGGCCGAGTTCCCGGGAACCACCTGCGTGCAGGCCCTAGGGGCTGTCACCGAGGCGGGGCGGGAACCAAAGTCTGGGATGGCTTTGCTTTGCTTCTGGCGCTCTCCCTTAGTCTCTATGTGAAGGAATTGGGGAAGCGGCTTAAGCACTCCCAAATGAGGCGTGACCCATGCAACGTTAACTAATCTCCCCCAACTCTCGCTTTTCTAAACATGGAGAAAGTCACTTAGCGTCAGAGGAAGTTACCAGCACTTAGGGGTTAGGGATCTGGAGCCAGGATTTGAACCTAACCCCACCGTAGTCTTACTCTCTTGATGTTAACATTATGGGCTACCTCTTCTGCTGAGTAACCTCACCTGTTCCTTTTTGCTGACATTTCCCTTCTAGATGATGCAGGACAAGGTGGCGCCACAACCTGCCGCCTTAGCCCTGGAGGTGCTGATGCTGCTGCAGCAGGAGGAACCAACTTGATGGAAGGGCCCCGACACCTGCCGCGGAGACACTGGGCCTTGCTGTCTCCTCTCCATGCATTTCTGACTGGTGGATTTCATGTAAGATTCCATGGCCTGAGAGTCCATTGGACAGTTGGCTGTAACTGAGGAAGACCCACAAAAGTCAACATTGAATTCCCGCAAAACAACCACCTGCCACTACATAAACCCCTGAGCAGAGAGCCTGAAGACAGACCTCCAAGAGGGAGCAGGAGAGCTTGTTCCCCTCCTGGGTTCTCTCTGCCAGGAGGTTTGGTTTTTTGTAGTTGTTGTAATTTTTGTTTCTGTGAATAAATCCTGTGGTCTATGGATTCATTCTTGGAATCCCCAAGTCCAAGAACCTGAAACTCTGGTATCATAGATACTTTATCCTCTACTCCATAAAAACTCAAAGTGTGTACATGATGCTGATGTTGATTTGATTTCTAGGACAGTGAGACAGTCCCAAGAGCTCAAGTTTCTATAATGCAAGTGGAAAATTAACTTAATTAAAAGAAATAGCATCCAGCACACTCTCGTGCCCTTAATATTTGTTAAGGGCAAATACTGAATTGGATTTAGCATAAATCAAATTATTGAGGATTGTATGACAATTAAAAATATGTATTAAGTATTTAACTTACCTGGAATTGCTTAATTTTTGTTTGATTATTAGTAATGGTCTCTGTTCTTTGTACCTGTCTAATAATACGGCTTAGTACAAATGTTTGTTAAATAACTCGATTTCAAATCTTTAATGTCTATGTTAAAATGTGAATAGAATGTTGTTGAAATTAGATCCAGTAGTGAATTCATGCCTTATGGATTTTGAACATTTATTTAATGCTTCTTTTGTGTTGTCATTTGACTATTCAGAGACAAACAAGCACAGTTTCTGCCACCAAGAAACTTGTATCTTCCAAGTAAAGAGGAAGGAAGGGGAAAGATACGGTTTTTTCTAATAGAGTGGCATGAATTCAATGCCAAGAATAATTTTTTCCGGCCAGGCCTGTGGATATCTTCAAAGTGCAGGTGACATCTGTTCTGAGCTAATAACCTATTGAAGAAGGGGAAGGCCACACCAAATTTGGGCAGCAAATAGCATAAACAACTGCCAAAGTAGCTTCCAGGAGTGGTATGTTTGGGAAACCTCCTAACAGTGGATATTCCACAGTGTATATTTAATTTTCTTGGCTTAAGAATAATGCAATGGAGGGAAACAGTTGGTTAAAATTTGAAAACAAGTCCAAACAAGCCAATAAAAAAAATAAAGTCAATAAACATAGGAAGAGAGTTTCAATGTGATTAGTCACCAAGCGAATGCAAATAGAGACCACAAAGAAATAAAATTTCTCACTCCAGCAATTGGAAACTATTTAAAATGGTTTTAAGTAATTTCTTTTGTTTTCTAGATTTATAATCATATAATCTTTAAAAAATATTTTTCTTTACAGAATTTTATGTCTTTTATTTAGTTCATTTGTTGCATTGACTGGTAATTTCAGACACGTAAGAAACAATGGTGATAGTGAACATTTTTTACCTTTTTCCTGATTTCAGTGGAATTGTTTCCTCCTTAAACCTAATGCTCCCTTTTAGTTTGAAACCTATGTAATTATAGTTTGAATGGATTCCCATATTGCCGTAGTGCTAGGCACTTTTATTTTTCCTTAATAATGTGGCTTATTAAACACTAAAACACAAAAAATTTTAATCAGAACATATCATGGAAGTATAGGAGGAGAAACTTAATGCAAAATACTTAAACTATGTTTTTATAATAAAAACTGACTTTATTAAGGGACATTAAGTAAAAACTATACTAACCCAGGACAAGGCCAGGCAAGAATACCCACTGTTACCACTTCTGCTCAACATGGGGCTGAAGTCCTAGCCAAAGCAATCAGGCAATAGAAAGAAATAAAAGTTATCCAGATCAGGAAGAGGATGTCAAACTATTGCTTTTTTGCTGATGATATGATCTTATATCTAGAAAATTCTAAAGACTCCACCAAGAGACTGCTGGAATTGATAAATAAGCAAAGTCTCAGGTTACAAAAGCAGTGTACACAAATCAGCATCATTCCTCTACACCCAAAACAGGCAAGCTTAGAGTCCAATTGATGACTTAATACCATTCACAACAGCTACAAAAAAAAAAGAAAAAAAGAAAAAAATAATAATCAAATACCTAGGAATACACTTTCCAAGGAGGCAAAAGATTTCTACAAAGAAACCTTGCCTCAGCCTTCCAAGTAGCTGGGACTACAGGCACTCACTACAATACCCGGCTATTTTTTTGTTTGCAGTTTGGCCAGGGCTGGGTTCAAACCCGCCACACTTGGCATATGGGGCCAGTGCCCTAACCACTGAGCCATAGGCACCACCTCGAGGATGACAATTTTCATTACTGGGTGGGCTAGCCTACTAACAAATGGGTTAACTATTCCTTATTGGAATTTGCCATCTAGTGTGGCCAGTCACACCATTTAACAGATAGGATTCAGAAACAATCTACTGAGTGGCTGACCTAACTGCCTCATTTCTGACACTTTTTCTACAGACATGCTCTTTTTTTTTTTTTTCCTATCTACGGGGGAATATTTTTTTGAGATAAGTCATGACCCACCTTTTTCATTTCTCATTCCACATAAAATTTAATTTGTAGCCTTCTCCAAATTTAGTACATTTGGGTATATTAAACTTTGAGGAAATTCAAAATTGTAACAACACAGGACATTAAAAATTCCAACCAATCTAAGTGCTTGTACCACAAGCAATTAAGTCTGAGAAAAAGAATATACTGAGATCCTATAGTAAATGTATTAACCATTGTGAGAATTTGTTTCCTTCTGTGTATGCATCTAGAAGGAGTACAAGGGCGGAACATTTAAAATTGAGTTATTGTGGGAATATAGGACACAGGTAAAAATATATTAAGTAACATGTTTTGAACTTGATTCTTCCAAATATTGCATGCTTAGTGAATCCCCTTTGACATCATTGGCAATGTTTTTTTGAATTCAGTTTTGCTAAAAAGTAAAAAACATTCTTTTTTTTTTTTTTTTTGGCCAGAGCGGGTTTGAACCTACCACGGGTATATGGGGCCGGCACCCTTACTTCTTGAGCCACAGGCACCGCCTGTAAAAAATATTCTTTTATCCTGGTATGTAATACATACCTGTTTGGATTATCTGATATTGCTGGTTCACTTCAAATTGAACATTTTGTCTTTCAGCCTGACACTCCCCCCAGGTGATTGTAGGTCCTTTGAGAGAGCCATTCACAGTCTTTGAGAGGTGACTTCAGTAAAGGCTTCTGCATTCAAAGAGAGTTGTAGGATGAACCCTGGTGGACAGTAGCTTTGAATTCATTATACACTATCAATTATATTTCAATCACCAGTGGAGTAGACTGTTACCATGAAAATCTCTATGGGGCTATAGTACTGGCAGTGCTTGCTGGAAATTCACCTGAGAAAGATGGCACATTGAACCCTAAGTATGAATTCCAGATTTAATGTAACTCCTTTTTCTTTCTATCCAAAGTAGGGTCTATTTCAGAGATGCTAAGATGGTTCAGTACCTGAAAATTAATAATTACAGCAGTAATTACAGTAGGAAATTGCATATTATCAATGGATGCATTGGATAATATTAAAAATTCATTGATGACAAGGAAAAGCATTTGATAATATTCAAAATTCATTGATGACAAAAATTTTCATCCTAAAGTTGATAAATATCATC